GAAATGACTTAAAACCCGAGAGGGCTTGGTATCTTGTTGTAAGCCCTTTTTTGTTGAAGTTTAATGCAAAAACTCGTGTGTCATAAATTTGTGTATAAAATGCCAGATCTCACGAGAGATAAATAATTTTCTTGCTAATATTTGAGGATTCGACTTTCAAACTTTTAAGAATACTCTTCCTGATAAATTACGGAAAGTCAATTCTAATTTTAATTTACCTTTTGTAATTCCCATAATGTGGAGGGAAAAATCCCCTTCCAATGAGGATCGTCTACATCATCACACTACAAATTTATATTGTATATATTGCGAGGGCTCGATCCGTATCAAGCCCGAATTGGGAAAGCCCAATCTGGAATGACCCCAAGCTGAATTTTCCTTTCTATCAAGATCGCTACATTGGTCATTCAGCCCATTTATTAAGCCCAGACGATTCAAGATACATATAGCCCCATTCAGGCCTAATAAAGATGTTAGCAACCCAGGGTTGCTAATGTTGAACTTTCGGCCCAATGGCTGAGTCGTCTAGACCAGCCTACATTCAGCCCAGCTTCATTTAAAGACAGACCAGTCTTAATAGACAAATGATTCAACAAAGAAGGCAATTTCTGTGCAAGGAAAGTTTTGTATGGAAAGAATTGTAAAAATGAAAGGATTATAATTATAAAGAATGATATATATGGAATGAATTGGAAGGCAAGCAAGGCGAGTCTTACCATAATTTCACCACTTTGTTTCATATAAATAGAGGCCTAGACCTCCGATAAACGCCTGTCTCTGAGTATTATAATTACTTGTTTTGAGTGAGTTGTATTTTTCTTTTTATTTCTTGTAACAGAGAGAAATTTTGCACCTACACTTTAGCGCCGTCTGTGGGAAACGTATAAAAATATACTCCCACTTTTGTTTCAAATTGTTTCTGTTACTACGATCTAGAATGTCGAATGGAGAATCTGCAACAGCGGCTAATCAACAGATGGAGTTGATACAAAAGATGCAAGAAGAGTTTGTGCATCATTTCGAAATGCTTCGTCAGGAGAACGAGGCCAGCGTAGCCCAAATTGCATTACTTCAACAGCAAAACGACATTCTTCAAACAGCGATGGCTCAGTTAAAATCGCAGTCGCCACTAGTTGATGTGGCCGCACCTCCTCCAAACCAAAACGCTCCTCCGGTTAACGAGCCTCAAGTCATTGGGGCGCGGCCTAATGAGGCTCGGCCCAATAAAGTTCAGTAGGAGCAGAGGACAAGGTTCGAGACAGTTGCTTCAGACAATCTTCCTCGTCGCACGCAGGGCGAACATGCCGAATCTAGCCGTAAGCTTACGGTATGGTCCAATGGCATTCCAGATGGCGTAGGCGTACAGGAGGTCTTTGACGAAAAAAGGCTCCTGAGGATTCAGATGCCTGCCGAGATGGCCAGGGAGCATAAGAACTCTCTAGTGAAGACTCCATTTGTAATACCCCTAATTTTAAAAAGGATATTTCTGGTATTTTATTTTTAATTTAATTATTTTTTTGATTTAATTGTCTTTTTATTTGATTAATTGTTTCCTTATTTGTTGTGTTGATTAAATTACATGTATTTTGTTTAATTTTTAATTATTTGCTTAATTGTTTTGCTTTAAATTAAATAGGGTTGTTTTGTTTAAAATTAAATAGGGTTATTTTGTTATAAATTAATTTAATTGATATTTTATTAAATTTGTAATTGTTGTTTGTTTATTTGGTATTTAATTTTATACTTGTTTTATTTAATTATGGTTATTTTAATTGATTTATTTGTAATTGATTTAATTACTTAAATGCGTAAGTTAGGATTAGGGTTTTAGGTTTCATGGTAGCCGACTTAGTATATGTAGGTTTCCTTCTTGTATTGCAACTAGAATTAGGGTTGTGTTTTACAAACACCTATAAATACATGTACGAGTTCTACCTAGGGTTTTAAAAATAAAACCCATACACGTAGAGAACATACAGAGAGCAACAGTTGTGGTTTTGGGAGAAGCAGAGAGGAGAACTTAAGAGAGTTACAGAGAGGAAGGAAGCTAGGGTTGTGGGTGTCAACTGAGACTAAACCTAGAGTGACGAAGGTGGAACAACAGTCGGAAACCTCGTACGAAAATTCAGGAGACGGCAGTTTAGAGTTTCAAATCTGAAACTCAAAGGTAAGTCACTATTTTATTCTTTCCTTTTAATTCGTGTTCTGTGCATGCCTAGTGGACTCCAGGAATTAATTTAGCACTAAAACAGATTAAGTTGAAGTCATATTAATCTTGGAAGCATGTTGAATCGACTGTTAAATCATTGCATAATTATGTTGTGTGTAGGACGTTGCTCTGTTTAAAAATAAACTATTTGCGTGAGTTTTAATTTTGCTTAACCTTATGTATTTGGGATTGAATGCATGATTTTAATGGATTCTAGGACTGCAATTGAACTCCTAATTAAGCTATAAAAACTGTACAAAGTTTCTGCACTTCGTCGGAGGCGAAGAAGATGCACAGAATAGGGGATACGGCTCTCAACGGAGGAGAAGCGGCTCCACAAGGGGGTGGAGCCGGCTCCACAAGGGTAGAGCCGGCTCCAATAAAGGGTGGAGCCAGCTCCACCAAGGGGAGAGGTGGCTCCACTTTTGGTGGAGGTGGATCCTCTTTTATTATTTTTTTTGATTTTTCACGTTTCTGACTTCCGGTTGGCCTGTATGAGGGTTTCTGGGTTGTTCTAGGGGCTGTGGATGGTTTATAAAGCTGTTCTAGAGATATTAAAAGAATTGGGAAGCATGTTAGTATTAATATTGAAGCATGGGATAACCTACAATAATACACTGTATGTGGGAGGTTGAATTATACCTTGACATTGTTTACTGTTTCTATAAGCACTTTGGTTTCTAGCATAATTCTAAACTGTATTCATGTTTCAACTGTTATATAAGCATATATATATTTATTCTGGGAAAAATAGGTATGCTTAAATGGAAATTAATTGATGTTTAACTATACTATTTATTGCATCAAGTTATGGTACTATTTTAGAGGAATTAGATGCTGTATTTTACTCTAACAATTTAAAGGACTGGAATGTGACTTCCAGATCATATTGGATATATAATTTGTTCATACACTTATTAGATTTGTATGTGCTTATTCTGGAGTATAATTGATATGCATTTATCACTGTTTAGTCAACTGTGCAAACTGGAGGATTGTATGTACCGGTATGGGACGGTGACATACTAGGTTTGGACTGGTTCAAATACTAAGTCCTACCTAATTTGGATTAAGGTACGGATTAACCATATAGGTTAAGTCCATTATCTACTTGTGACAGGTCAACAAATAATTGATTGACTTAAAATGGTTTCAGAACGGATGATTATACCTATACCAGACCACTGCACAGATGGAGGGTATTTCGTATTAGAAGGAGTACAGACTTTATATATTTACTATATGGTACCATGGTATGAGCTTGAATCTCAGGACCATGGTTAGGGCGCGTATATCGCCTAGGATGGATAACTGGACATAGGTGTTGTTCCCTGGTAGGTTTAGGTACACATGACCACATTATTGTGCGATTTGCATGGTATCTCTATTCAGACTGAGACAGACCTACTGGACTAGTGAGCGTCCTGTAGTGTGTACAATATATATATATGGACTACTCTAGATATTGTTGAGTCTTCCTAGGATGTATCTGCTTATCAGATTACTGTTTGGATCGTAGTAGAATAGGACTTGCATGTGGGCCTGACCCATTCTTTTATTTTTCAGGTGTTCGTCAGTTCCAGGGTTAGAGCTTGGACGTGCAGAGTAGATACAGACATTTATTCCTCAGATTACGTAGGAATTATTTCTATGTTTAGCTTTAGATTTTATTTCTGTTATTTTAGTTTCTATTGGGTTTTTTAAATAAAGGGTCCACTGGATGGATTCCCGAGTTGTTAACCTTATAGAGTTTTGGAGTTTTGGATTTCAATAATTATTTTTTAAGGATTTTCAATTAGCAATCTTTCAGCTTATTATTTTTATTTCTTATTTTATCTTGTATTCTGTGTTCATTTTAAAATATTAATTGTTTGATATTCCCTCGGGTTTGGGCCTGAGCCTGATCAACCTGTGTCTCGGATTCGAGGGGTATCAGACCATTCATCGACGATATATACCTCGTTGACAAACCTAAAAAAATCACTATGCCTTCCTTTACCCAGTTCGATGGCATGGGAGATCCTTCTCGCCACCTTGATCATTATGCATAAAAGATGGCTCTGGACGATCACAATGATCCGTTCATATGTAAGGTTTTTCCGACTAGCCTAACAAGAGCTACGTTGGAATGGTTCAGAAACAGGCCACACAAATCTATCCCTGACTACGAAACTCTTTGCATTATGTTCCTAACTCAGTACTGCAGAAACAAGAAGCAAAAGAAGAATATTGCCAGCCTCTTCACCATCAGGCAAAAGAAAGGAGAAGCGTTACAGGATTTCTTGTCCAGATTTAATATGAAGGCCTCGGAAATAGCAGATTATCATCCTGCGACTGCAATAGAAACGTTCAAACTAGCAATGATTCAGGGAACCAAGTTCCATACCTCCTTAGTCAAATATTCCCTTCCGGATATGCAGACTCTCAATGCTAGGGCGTAGATCTACATCCGACTTAAGGAGAATGTAGCCCACCGAGCGCAGTATGCCACCCTCGTCACAGTGGAGAATATGCCTCAGGAAAGGGTGTCAAATCCAAAAAGCAGAAAAGCTAACACGCCTCAGTATAGGTTCCACAGGTACCTGAGAAGAGGCAAAGGATAGAGGAAAAGTTCACACCTCTTCGCACCACCTTAGCTCAGCTATTCTAGGAAAATAAGATGAAATTCACAGCCCCTCAGCCAATGAAGCAACCCTAAGAGCAGAGGGACAAGAACAAGCACTACACCTACCATATAGATTACGGGCATACAACCAATGATTGCAGATCCCTTAGGCGGCAAGTGGAGAATATGATAATCAGGGGTGAGTTGGCAGACTACCTTACAACAAAGGAGTACGTAAAGCCTCGGGAGGTTAACCCTCGGAGAGTAAAAGGTAATCAAGTAAAGGTCATCCATGCAATACATGGGAGATCAGAAAATGACCAAGAATCGAAAGAAGTATATAGATCCAGGCTGAGGACAACCCATAAGTTAAGAAAGTTGTCCTCGATAAACACTGTCGCCTCGGGCAGTATTAGTATTAGGTTTGGTGATGCAGACTTATCTAGACTTCAACTCCTTTACAAGGATCCACTAGTCATCAGCCTTCTGGTGGCAAACTGCATGATCAAAATGGTTTTGATAGACCCAGGTAGCAGTGCCAATATTATCACAAAGGCAGTCTTCGAGAAGCTGGAGGTCCCGTCATCATCAATTCGGCCCACCTCCAGTCCCTTGATGGGATTTGATGGCACGAAGGTAAACCTCCTTGGGGTGATTGATTTATCCGTCACTGCGGTAAAAAGAACATTGAAGGAGAACTTTATCCTAACAAAGATTCATCCTTCTTATAATCTCATTATGGGAAGAGGCTGGATCCACCGAATGAACGAGGTCCTATCTACCCTTCATCAAGTGATGCGATGCCTGTCCCCGGATAGGAAGGAAGTTATTAATCTTTGGGGAAATCATGTCGCTACCAAAGAATACTATATGCTGACATAGAATGAGGCAAAAAAGATAGTTAAGCAGTCCCAACTAGTTGCGACCCTCGGAAGCATGTCCAAATAACAATCACAGAGCCGTCTGCCCAAGTATTTGAAAGCGGAGGATGGAGTTAAAGCAATAAAGCCTACTGAGAATCTCTCAAGGCTGTTGAAGTAATCATTGGCGATCCCCAGAAAGTCACCTATATAGGTTCTTCCCTACAGCCGAGGAAAAGAAAGCATTAATTGATGTCATTCGACAGAACGCAGATGCATTTACTTGGGATCATTCAGACATGGTAGGAATCAATCCTTAAGTCTCATGCCATAGCCTGAAGGTGGATCCGGCGTTCAAGCCAGTCAAGCAAAGACACAGAAGGTTCGCTCTTGAGCGCAATCGAATTATTGCTGAAGAAGTAAACAAATTACTTCAGGCGGGTTTCATCCGAGAGGTGCACTATCCACAATGGCTTTCTAACGTGGTGGTAGTTTAGAAGAAGAATGGAAAATGGAGAGTGTGCATAGATTTTACCAATCTCAACAAAGTTTGCCCTAAAGATAGCTTTCCACTACCCAAAATAGACCAGATGGTTGACGTTACCACTGGTTATGAGAGACACACATTCCTTGATGCATATTCTGGTTATAACCAAATCCCTATGAATTCAGAAGATGAAGAGAAAACTACTTTCATAACAGAAAATGGCACATACTATTATAAAGTTATGCCCTTCGGACTCAAGAATGTTGGGGCAACTTACCAACGCCTTGTTAGCAAAATCTTCGACGAGATGTTAGGAAAGACGGTCGAGGCCTACATCATGGTTAAAAGTGAAGAATGAGGAATATCCCAAGCACTTCCAAGAAGTCTTTGACATTTTGAGAAAGTATAACATATTTTCAAGGCAATTCCTCGGCCATATTTTCAATAAGAGGGGAATCAAGGTAAGTCCGGCTCAGGCTCAGGCCCTTATACAAAATCAAGAACCAAAAACTTGCAAGAAAGTATAGGTTCTGATCGGCCGAATCGCAGCTCTTAGCTGCTTCATCTCTCGATTATCAAACAAGTGCAAACCATTCTTTTATGCAATAAGATCAAAAAACAAAGATATATGGGGACCTCAACAGCAAGTTGCTCTCAATCAATTGAAGTGCTACATGACTGAACCTCCAATTCTGTCAGCTCCGAAGCCTGGTGAGACTCTCATCATGTATCTAGCAATCTCCCGTATAGCCACAAGTGCAGTAGTGATCAAAGAAGAAGGGAAGAATCAGTATCCAGTCTTTTACACCAGTAAGACAATGATAGATTGTAACGACACTGAATTTTTCAACCCAGTGTGTCCTGTGATGACCCGAACTGGATCCAAGATGCGGAAGCAAAAAATAAGACAACGGTCTCCTAAGGCACAACACACCTCTAAGACCCTAAGATGACCTTCCATGAAGTCACGAAACCCAAAGGGATAAGTACGGAAGCAAGAGATCAAAAAGATAACAATTAAGCCCCCAGGGGCAAAATAGTCATTTCATAGTGAAATGGATGATACCAAGCATACCACTGGAAAGAAAATGAAAAATTAATAAAAATGGACTCAAGAATGACTTGATTTGGAGTCCAGACGAAGAAGATATCAAGTCTTGAAGTTAAGGAAGGGAAACCTTATCCCGGTTCGAACAAAAAACTGACACTACTTTACTAAAACTTGAATAACTTGAGTTAAAAATGGAATCTAAAGCTCTAATTGATACCATTGGAAAGCTTATTTCGACGCGGTCAGTTTAGACTCAAGAACGGACCAATTCAGAGTTGAAACGAGTGACATATGGCCCTCTGAAGGAAAATGTTTGGAGTAGGAATAGATCCCCACGGACGCCCGCCCAAAAGCTGCGGGAGCCTGCCAAATGTGGCAGTAGCCTCTTAAAACCATGGGGGCCCACCAGTTACTCACTAAAATGGGTGCTAGAACCCCCAAAATGCGAAAACTAACGAAGGGGAAACATGGATGAACCTGATACTTCATTTTTTAAGGGTATGCAACCTACTTAAGAGTGATTTTAATCAACAAAAAAGATTAGGCAAATGATGGCTTTAAAGCCTCATGGCATGTTATTTACAAATTAGGCTCAATCCTTGAAATTCCATAAACTAATTATGAAGTTAAACTAACATACATGTCATATAGATGTCTTTAGCCCTTGGCCTCATTACATATATATCCGAAGAGTGTCAAAAGGTGCACTTAAGTGCACATTACATAGTTTAGACAAAAAATACAAGTTTTGACATATAAGGCTATAGGTGGCATTTCAAGCCAACCTTTATATGCATTTAAAACCTTCAAGTTTACAATCATCCAAGCAATGATGAACATCCCGCACCAAGTCTTCGTACCTGAACAAATCCCCCAGTAACTTCGGGGTGAGTAAACAAGTTTACTCGTAGAGAATGAGCATGCATAGACTCGATTTCTTTAAAGATTTTTACATTGACTTGAAACAATTCAAAAGGGTCATGCCACCTAACGTCTATGTCAAGGTGAGACTCAGGGAGCATCCTAAGCTATCATAGCTCATTTCAGCATAAACTATAATATTTATGCAATTAAACAATATAGAAGCATGCTATACAACGCAACAAGATATAGATCCTCAAAATCATTCACTTGAAATCCAAGATACGAAATCCACTAAAGTGGTTTATGCCACCTACCTTCTATGTTCCAAATGAGTATAAAGAATCGTCCTAGGCTACATTAGAACAATAAAACATAAATCACAATTTCGATGCAATTTAACCAACATTGGAACTTCCAATACAACACGTAAAGCACAAATTCTTAAAGTTACCATCTTGAACTTAGAATGGGAAATCAAATAATGAACAAGAAGTTACAACATCATCTAGTTATCAACTTGAAATGAAATGCGAAATCAAACAAGGTGGATACTTGGACATCATGCTAGATCAGGCCGACACCGTGGTTACTTTAGGGTTACTAGCCCATAGGTAACCTCCCTATGTGCGCACTAAACTGTAGAGGGACAATCCCTCGTACTAGAACCAAGCCCTAGCCGTAGTCAAACAACGACATCCCCAAGTTTTCAAAATCAACAAGTTATGCAACAACATATATATATATATCAACATGTATATGCAAGATAATCAGCTATCCACCATGCACAATCGAATTTGGAAACACATACAATACATGCTCTAAGTCTACAACTACTATGGCATGAAAAGATGTCAAATACAAAATGTGCAACTCATTACACAAGACAACAATATAATCCATAAAGAAAACATGCTCTCATGAATATAAATATAATAACAATGTTATCCTATGGTCCAAACATAACCAAGTGGATATACAACAAGTCGAAGTCCATGATTTGAATATAGAAACTACTTCTAAAGCACAATTAGGTCCATTGAGCCATTAGATAGAATTTAATTAAACAAAAATCATTAAATTCTCTAGATTTCAAATCAATATCAAATAACCTCAAATTTTTTATATGTTAAACAATATAGCATGCTCATTACATATATCAAATCAAAAGAGCAAAATGAGCAAGACATCATCATGTAGAATTTAATAAATTTAAATTAATTAAATCTCTAATTTTTAAAAGTTATTCAAATAATCCCAAATTAGTATATAACATGGATTAAATCATGATAATCACTAATATCAAGTCAAAACTTAATTACATCAATGGAGTAATTAAATAGAATTTAATTACATAAAACTTAAATAAATCTCTAGATTTCAAAAGTTGTTTGAATGATCTCAAATTAATATATATCTAGCACTAAGTCAATGTCACACCATATATCAAGTCTAAAATAGAATACAAGCAAAACACAATTTACTAGAATTTAAATCAAATTAAATCCATTTAATCTCTAGATTTGAAAACTCATTTAAATCATCCCAAATTAGTATATACCAAAGATCATGCTATGGCCATGCCATAAACCAAGTCTAAAATAAGTTATAAGCAACAATGATACATCATTTATTTCCCATATTAACAAAAAAAAAAAAAAAAAAAAAAAAAAAAAAAAAAAAAAACCCCATGCTTACAACTTATATATTCATACAAAAGCAATTAAAGCTACTTAGAAAATAAATTATAACACCCCCTACCTCACAAGAGGATTGTTCCTCTTAAATCCAACCGCAAGCACAAAATGGTAAACCCTTCTAGGGTTATGAAGAGGAGGATGAGGGGAACAAAAAGTATTCAAGGTCAAGCTTGGAAATCAATGGAAGGCCCTCAAAATCAAGGTCAAAGCTTAAGGCTTCAAGGTCCATCCATGGAGGCTAAGGTTTTCTTTACAAGAGATGGAGGAGATAGAAATTAAGTGTGATAGAATGTGAGTGGAGGAAATAGAAATCCTTCACTCACTATGTGGTCTTATACCAAGATCAACACACACAATTCTTGGTCAATTGCACAAAAAACCCCTCTTTAAAATCATAATCCCAAAGTGGCCCAAAAATAATTGCAAGACTTAATTTGGAGCATACACTTGTCATTCATCCAAGCATCCATTGTAGGCTTAATCCTAAGCCAACACTTGTCAACTATCTAAGCCAACAAGTGCACCTATCCTAGGTTAACAAGTGGTTCAATCTCCACCCTCCACATGTCATAATCCAAGGCATCAAAGTGTCCCTATACAAATGTCAACAAGTGGACCAATAAGAGTATGACACTTGTTACACTTTTTGAAAATTGCAAAAATGTACTTTTTGAAAATATCTTCCAAATTAAATTACAAAATGGTCCCTAGGATGAAAAATAATTACTTTACAGTAATTACACAAATGACTCTAAAAGAAAGAAAAATTCCAAAGAAGTGTGCATCCTCACCCCTAAGGAAGAAAGTACACAACTAGCATGTTTTTCTATAAAAGTAAAAATACACATAGCATGGAATTTAAATATCATGGATGCATGCAAAACCGGAATCAAATCCAAACACGAAAAGTGAGGTTATGCCAA